CTGAGCAGCAGCAGCAACTCAGCAGCAGCAGGAGGAGTAGTCTGTAATACCTGCAGCAGTCTATCTGCGAGTACAGAAGCAAAAGCAAAGTTGCAGGGGGTGCGTGCTGTCTCTGTATAAACCCTTGAAAATCTGTCGGCCAGCACTCTTTGAAGAGCAGACCTCATTTTGTCTCCGACTGCAGCAATAGCTGCACGTACACCTGAAGCCTCTGCTTCTGCTACTGCAGCGCGAGTGCAGCGAGATACAGATGAATGAATGCCCCCGCATAAACCCTTGTCTGCAACACATTAACCCTAAACCCTAAACCCTAAACCCTAAACCCTAAACCCTAAACAGGAAGCGCGAAGCAGGCATATAAGAACCACAACTTCCCTAGGGATATAAAAGCTTGGCAGTAAAGCGCAGCCTATGTTAGTTTAAACCCTAAACCCTAAACCCTAAACCCTAAACCCTAAACCCTAAACCCTAAAGAGGCACCTGAAGATAGAACAAGCATTGTAAGGTCAGTCTTGGGTTCAGGGATAGTTATGCGAGAGACAACGCGCTGCAGAGACAGCAGAAAAAAGAAGAAAATATCAAAGAGTGTTTAGTCTTCAATCCAATAAGGGCTTAGGGTTTAGGGTTTAGGGTTTAGGGTTTAGGGTTTAGGGTTTAGTTACCCTTGAAAATCTGTCGGCCAGCACTCTTTGAAGAGCAGACCTCATTTTGTCTCCGACTGCAGCAATAGCTGCACGTACACCTGAAGCCTCTGCTTCTGCTACTGCAGCGCGAGTGCAGCGAGATACAGATGAATGAATGCCCCCGCATAAACCCTTGTCTGCAACACATTAACCCTAAACCCTAAACCCTAAACCCTAAACAGGAAGCGCGAAGCAGGCATATAAGAACCACAACTTCCCTAGGGATATAAAAGCTTGGCAGTAAAGCGCAGCCTATGTTAGTTTAAACCCTAAACCCTAAACCCTAAACCCTAAACCCTAAACCCTAAACCCTAAAGAGGCACCTGAAGATAGAACAAGCATTGTAAGGTCAGTCTTGGGTTCAGGGATAGTTATGCGAGAGACAACGCGCTGCAGAGACAGCAGAAAAAAGAAGAAAATATCAAAGAGTGTTTAGTCTTCAATCCAATAAGGGCTTAGGGTTTAGGGTTTAGGGTTTAGGGTTTAGGGTTTAGGGTTTAGTTTTACCTGCATTGGTAGGGCAAAAGGCATTCCGTTTTCAAGTCTTCTCTGATCTGAACGTAGCTTAGAAGCTGCAACCATCTTCATAGCTTTAGTAATCTGTGCATACACCCCAAATAAGAGCGGAGATGGTCGGAAAAAGATACAAAGGATGAACAATAAACAGCACCAATGCATGCATTCAGGTGTATATACACCTCAACTAACACTTGCCTTTTGAATAGACTTCACAGACTTCATACGCGCAGCCACTATCTTCAGATCTCCAGCGCCAAACCCTCGCCTCTGTTGCACAGAGGGCCCCCAGCACCTGGGGCCCCCTAAAGAAACAGGAATATAGGGGCCCCCCATCTGCTGCTGCTGCTGCTGCTGCAGCTGCAGTTGTAAGGGGGCCCTCACCCCTAGGAAGCAAGGGGGGCCCCCTATGAACGCAGCACGAGACGCTGCTGCAGATACACCGAGGCATCTCTGCAAAGGAAGAGCCATCATAGAAGATACGCAGAAGATATGTAGGGGGAGATGAGTGTATACAGCTGAGGTGTACAGACACCTCAATACACACACACACACAGGTATATATTTGATGAAAATCAATGAAATAAATTGTTTTATTCTTTTCAATAGTATATGAAAAATATACTTAGCGATATATAAAGAAGAAAACAAACCTTCAGGTGCCTGTACACCTCAGATAATAAGAAGAAGCACAAAGAAAGCTGCAGAGTACAGAGGCATAAGGGAGAGGTGTTCGTCTTATTTAGCCTGATATTGCTGTTAATAATTAATTAATTTATTTTATTTCTATTTTATTTCCTTTAATATACCTCATTTAATCTCGAAAAAATGCTGCTGCTTCAACCCTTCGCTGCAGCCACCGCAGCCCCAATAACCCGTGCATGCAAGCAGACAAGCCGGGTGTAAATATATTTATTTTATCAATTTTAGAGTTTTAATTGTTATTTCTTTTATTGTTTTTATACTCTTTTTATCTTCTTATAAGCCCTAAAGAAGAAGCAATTGTCTATCCCTTCCTTCATCCCTGCATAAAAATCTCTCTAAACATTTTATGATCTACTCAACTGCTTATCAATCTATGCTGCAGATGCATGCATAGTGGGGCTGCATGCAGCAAACATACCTCTTTAATCCCTTTGCTGCTCTTTACCTTCAACACTCAACCGCAGGCCCCAAAGAACACACAGAGTAATTCAATACACCTCTCAAAGACAACGCTAGCTAGCTAGCTAGCTAGCTGGGCTCATATATATGGTGTATATATATATATACAGATATATGCAGATATATATATATATATACATATATATTTATATTGATCCCCAGCTAGCTAGCTACCGTTCTCTATCATGTGTATACGCATTTATACTTGAATGCAAACAAAGAGTTGAGAGGTCTAAGAAAGCAAAAAATTAATTCTCTAACTGTCTCCTGCATGCAGCATACAGCACCGTTACTTTTTACAGGCGAGCGTCTAGCAGCAACAGCAACAGCTGAATATTAAACAGCTGAATATTATACATATATATATATATATATATATACATGCATATATACAGCAACTATATATATATATATATATATGTATATACGTGTATATGTATGTACAGATATTCGTATACTCCGCCCTTATTATCTTAAATCTTTTCATCTGTTGCAAGTCGCATATATATATATATATATATATAAATATATGAGAGGCTAATAAACAAATATAATAATCAATTATAGTATAGCTTACTATAATTGATTATTATATTTGATTATTATATTTAATTATCATATTTGATTATTATATTTGCTTATTATATTTGTTTATTATATTTAATTATTATATTTGATTATTATTAGGGGTTCTTGAAGAAGTTGTGTGCTGTTATTATTATTATTATTTATTATTATTATTATTTACACTTCTCGGTGTCTCTGTACATCCTTGAAAAATAATAATAAAAAAAGAGTAGAGTTACAAAAAGCAAAGATATTAAAGTCTTCTTCATTAAAATATTAATAAATTATATTTATTAAAAGACTAAAGGAGACACTTAGAGTTTAAGTGTATTGCTTCACTGATGTTAAAGGAAATATAAAATATACAAATAAATAAATAAATAAATAAATAAATAAATAAATATTAATATATATATGCATGTATAAATATATATATTATATATATTGATTGAATAACTTCTGTCTCCTCAGAGTGCATGCAAACAAATAATGTTGTTACATATATAAATTGTTATATAAACCTCTCTTTTAACAGAAGAAGAGTTCTTTTATTGTTAATACACCTATTAGCTTACTTTTGCATCGGAGACACTTATATAAGAGGAGACATCTATTTAAGAGGAGACAGACGTCTATTTAAGAAGAGACATTTATGTAAGAGGAGACACCTCTGTAAGAGCAGACAAACACCTATATACGAGGAGACAGACGCCTATACAAGAGGAGACACCTGCATAAAAGGAGACACCTATATAAAAGGAGACACATATATAAAAGGAGACACATATATAAGAGGAGACAAACACCTATATAAGAGGAGACAAACACCTATATAAGAGGAGTTAGACATCTATATAAGGAGACAGACGCCTAGACAAGAGCGTTTAAAAGCATCAGTTGTATTAATTAGTTTGCTGCAGAAAGGAGACAGCTTCTTTGTTCGAGAGTCTCTGCATGCTTCATTGCTAGCAGCCACCTAAGGAGGAGAAAGTTTCTAGAAGCCTTCATGGAGGCCCTAAGATTTAAATAAATAAATTATAACTGACTTCTTAAGAGGTAATAAACACAAAAAATTAAGAGGAGACATCAGCAGCCCCCTCTGTACACTCTATCAAACAAGCTATATCTTTGCAGAGCTCTCTGAAGCCTTCAGACGCTTATTATATCTTCACTTCAACAACAAACAATGCTTGTTATAACAGAAAAATATTATATCTTAACTGCTATAACAAAGACTGTTTAATTAAATAGGGGTCTAAGCATTATGCATTATTATAATCTCTCATTGGAGGGCTGCCCTTAGAAGAGAGCAGTCTATATATATAAATATAAATATAAATGCATATATATATATAGAGAGAGAGAGAGATAAACAGGCAGAGAGAGAGACAGACAGAGACAGATAAACAGAGAGAGACAGAGAGAAGAATCAAAGTAAAATTGTTTACAGAGGGGTAAGGTTATGTCCCCTACAGTAAGGAGACAGACTTCTTTCTTCATATGAAGGAGGCTGAAGGTCTCCTTCTCTGTGGGGTTTAAGTTTAGAGTGTAGCTACACTCTATTCATTAGAACAGCTACTGTCTCTTCTGCTGTCTCCTAAAGTACTGTATACAGCATAGCAGCAGCCTAACAGCAGCAGCCTGCTGCTTCTGATAGGCTGCTGCTGCTGCTGACAGGCTGCTGCTGCTGCTGCTGTTGCTGCAGCAAAGAGGAGACAGTTTATTATTATTAGGGGTTGGGGGCTTCGTTCTTTGAAGGAAGGCTGTGAAGCAAACACAGATAGTAATTATTATTAAAGGTATTAATTGCATGCACGAATAACAACAACACAACAACAACAACAACAACAATAATATATATATATATATATATATATAGAGAGAGAGAGAGAGAGATCTGCGGTGTACATGCACATGCTGCAGTAGTTTACTGCTAGCAGCCTCTGTTCGACTACTTCTACTCTAAAAAGAAGTTTAAAAAAATTTATTTATTTTTATTTATATTAAAATAAAAAATTATAATATTTATTATTATTCTTTGTTTATTTCGCTAGGTGTATATACACCACAGCCACACCTCGCAGCAACATGCAGTCTAACTCTGATTAAATAAAACAAGCTGAGGAACAGCAAATAAAATTAAAATAAATTAATTATAATATTAATTTAAATGTTTAATTCAAATGAATTAATAGTAAGAAGCAACAAAACAGAAAAAAAACAAACAATAATAATAAATAATAAAAATATTAATCACCACAACCCCACTCCTTGCATGCATTGATACAGAGGGGCATAGATGTTGTAGGCGTTAAAGGATATGTAGCAGTCTCCTTTAAGGGTTTAATTTAGGGTTTAGGGTTTAGGGTTTGCGAGGGTTTAGGGTTTAGGGTTAGGGTTTAGGGTTTGCAGGGGCCTTACATAAAGGGCCCCTTGGCTGCAGGGCTGCCCCTAGAGAGAAATAAACATTTGCTTATTCTGCTTCTCTTGATTGTTTTTAAAAGGTAAAATGAATAAAAAGGAGACAGCTGGCGTCTGCAGACTCTTGAGCTGTCACTACACCTGGAGATGCCTCCTACTCTTTGCTGCCTTCACGGTTTAGGGTTTAGGGTTTAGGGTTTAGGGTTTAGCTCCCCCATGAGCTGGAGGTTGATACGCCTATCTACAGGCGAAGTCTTTGCTGTGCCTCCGCTTCCTTTTGTCTCCTTCTCTCCCTCCTCTTCTTCGGGTGTCTCCTCTACCCTCACCAACTGTCTCCTTTCTTCTTCATCTAATCAGGGGGCCCCCCCTGAGGGCCCTCTCTCTTCTTCTGTGGGGCCCCCTTCAGCCAGGCATCCCCTGGGGGCCCCCCTTCCCTTTAGCGCTGCCTGTGCTGCTGCAGATGGGGAGGGTGGAGGGGCCCCCAGGGGGCCCCCGCAATCTCAGGGGCCCCCGGGGGGCCCACTGACGTCTGAGGGGCCCCCTGGGGGCCCCCTGCACTCTGGGGGCCCCCCTCCTCGGGGCTACCTGCACTCTGGGGGGCCCCCTTCTGGGGGCCCCCAGCAGTCTGGGGGGCCCCCTGGGGGCCCCTGGGGGCCCCCTGAATCTGCAGCGTTTGCTGTTGGGCGTGCAGTTGACTGTGGGGTGCGGCTAAAGGCTTCAACCTGCAGCAGACAGCATTTGTTTTTAAGGGTGCTGCCTCCTCCATTAAGAGACACTTTGCTGCTGCCTCAGACCCTGCAGCAAACAGAAGGAGCTCAGCCTAATAATGAAGGGGGGCCCCCAGGGGAGGGGCCCCCTATGGGGGCCCCTGAGGGTACTGGGGGGCCCTTCTATTTCCCTGCTAGGAGGACAGGACGCTTTTTCGTGCGTAATGTCTCCTTGAATGATACTTTAATTAATGGTGTCTCCTTTAATGCAGTGCTGCAGCAGCAGCGGCAACAGCAGCAGCAGCAGCAGCAGCAAAAGCAGCAGCAAGAGCAGCAGCGAGAAGATGAGGGGGAACAGCAGCAGCAGCAGCAGCAGCAGCAAGCGGCGTGGCTGCTGCGTGCAGGTTATGTTGAGGTGTATAATGGAGATGTGCTGCAGCCAGCAGGAGACCCTTCTTTGTCTCTTCTTGTTGCTTTCTGCCCAACTGTCTTCTGTTTAAACAGCAACCCTGACGCCGAGCAACAGCAGCAGCAACAGCAGCAGCAACAGCAGCAGCAACAGCAGCAGCAACAGCAGCAGCAACAGCAGCAGCAAGAAGGGGGAGGAGGGAGGCTCCTGCAGTGCGTTAGGGCCTTCCATGATGCCGGTGAGTTTATTGCTGCACCCCACACTGCGACACCAGCAGCAGCAGCAACAGCAGCAGCAGCAGCAGCAATTGCTGCGGTTCTTGCCGTTCTTGCTGCTTCTGCAGCAGCAGCTGCTGCTGCTGGTTCTCTTACGGGAAATTTTCTGTTAGCCTGCTTGTCGCGCTGTTTATCGATCGCCCTTCATGCACGACTCTTTGCTGTTGCTGCTGCTGCTGCTGCTGCTGCTGCTGCTGCTGCTGCTGCAGGTTTGTATGTGCTGGCCCCACAGTTTCACCCGCATTGCTGCGGTCTCCTGGTGTCTCCTTCTCAGCCCCTTTCTGTGGCGCTGCTGCGGTGTCTCCTCGCTAACAAACCGCTGCTGCAGCTGTCTTCTGTCTTGCAAGCTCTGCATACAGCACACTCTCAAAGCACCAGCAGCAGCAGCAGCAGAGGGGTGTACTTAGCAGCAAAGATAAGCCCAGCTGCAGCAGAACACATGCGGTGTCTCCTCACGAACTCTGCACTTAAAAATAAAAAAGGAGACACTACCGACGCCCTGTGCGTGCTGCAGGAAGCAGCTACAGACTGGAGGCTGCTGCTGCAGCACTTAGCTGCTGCTGCTGATGCTGCTGATGCTGCTGCTGCTGCTGCTGGACGTGAGAGTGCCATCAGCAGCAGGGGAGAAACTCCGCAGCAAGGGCAGTTACTGCCGCAGCAGCAACAGGAGCAGCAACAGCAACAGCAGCAACAGCAGCAACAGCAGCAGCAACAGCAGCAGGCACTTCAGCGGTTCGCACCTTCGGGTGTCTCTTCTTCGTCTCCTTTGTCTCTTTACATTCGCAGTCCTGCTGCAGTAAGGAGACATAATTTGTTCTGCTGCTGTCTGGCTCTCACCCTGTGTGCTGCTGCACACAAGAGACTCAGTCAGCTATTCACGTACGTTTGCTGCTGCAGCTGTTGCTGCTGTTGCTGCTGCTGTTGTTCTCGTCGCTGCTGTTGTTGGTGTGGCTAGTGCTGCTGTCGTTGTTGTTGCTGCTGCTGCCGCTTTTGAATCTGCTGCTGCTGCTATGGCACGATCTGCAGTATACGGTAGGCTCAGGTTTCTGCTGCTGCTGCTGCTGCTGCTGCTGCTGCTGCTGCTGCTGCTGCAGGGCTGGGGGAGGCCATGCGCTATGCCTGCCTGAAATCGATGAGCGGTTTGCTGCAGCAGCACGCGAAGCTCTCGACGTTGCGTCTCTCCCCGCCATTGAAGCAGCAGCAGCAACAACAACAACAGCAGCAGCAGCAACAACAACAGCAGCAGCAGCAGCAACAGCAGCAGCAGCTCTACGCCCCTTTCTGTCAAGGTCTTCCAAGGGGAAGCCCCTCTGCACGAATTGCTGCCTCTTCGTGGGGCCTCCAGAGAATCTGCTGCAGCGCAAGCAGACGGAGGCCCTGTTGCTGCTGCTGCAGCTTCTAATTGCAGCGATCGAGCAGCAACAGCAGCAGCAAGAGCAGCAGCACGAAGAGCAGCAGCAGCAGGAGCAGCTACAGCAGCAAGAACAGCAGCAACAAGAGCAGCAGCAACAGCAGCAGCAACAGCAACAGGGCATCAGGATAGGAGACGTGCAGCTGCTGCTGGTGCGGGAGCGGCAGGCTGTTGTCTCTGTTCTCAGTGGCTGTCTGTACACCCCACAAGGTCTCCTCGCAGAGACAGACCAGCAGGTGCAGCAAGTGCTGCAGCAGGCACGCAGCAACTACCTACAACAACGGCAGCAGCAGCAGCAGCAAATGCACCAGCAGCACCAGCAGCACCAGCAGCACCAGCAGCAACAAGAACAGCAGCAACAGCAGCAGCAGAGAGGGGGCTTAGTGGCGTTGTCTGCGGGCCTTTCTTCTGCATGCGACGCCTTCAGCCCAACCAACAACTTTTTTGCTGCAGCAGCAGCAGCGGGAACACCAGCAGCAGCAGCAGCAGCAGAAGCAGCAGCAACAGTAGCGGAAACACCAGCAACACCAGCAGCAGCAGGACCAGCGGGAACATCAGCAGCAGCAGCAAATGCCCCAGCAGCAGCAGCAGCAGCAGCAGATATACCTGGAGGTGCGCAGACACCCGACGTGGGGTTTGTTGGCCTCCATGAGTCCCCTGTAAAGGGAGAGGCCCCCAGCAGCAGATGGTGCAGCAAAAGCTCTCTAGGGGGGGGGCCCCCTGCTCTGGACCCGAAGGGGGCCCCTGCCTATACACCCCAATTAGGCAGCCAAGCAGCAGCAACAGCAGCAGCAGCAGTAGCAGCAACAGCAGCAGCAGCAACAGCAACAGAAGGGGGGACCCAAAAGAAGGTCTCTGCTGCTGCACGCTTCGCTCTTCTCAAGAATGCAATTGAAACGGCTTCGCAGCCTATACACTGCAGCAGCGGCAGCACTTTTAACACACAGCACCCAGATGCTGCTGCTGCTGCTGCTGCACCACCTGCTGCTGCTGCCGCCCCGCATGCTGCGCTGCAGCAGCAGCAAAGGCAAGAGGGGCAAGTGCTTGAGGACCAACACGCATCGCAGCAGCAGCAGCTGCAGCAGGAGATACAGGCAATGCAAAGCCCGCAGCAGCAGATACAAATGCAGCAGCAAATGCAGCAGGTGCAGCGGCAGCAGCAGCAGCAGCAGCAGCAACAGCAGCAAATGCAGCGTGGGACGCCCTCGACCGGAGGACCGTTCCACGGGTCAGCAGCAGCAGAAGCAGCAGCAGCAGCAGGCTGGCGCAGGAAGCCTGAGCAGCAGCAGCAGCACAAGCCGCACGAGGCCCTCGAGTTGAGCTCTGCTCAAGCAGACGTTGCGAAGATAGAAAACTGTATTAGAGCAAGTTGGGTCCCTCTTCATTTGCAGAAGAGAGACAGAAAGAGATTTAAGAAAGATATCATGCAGCTGTCAGCGAGGAGGGGCCCCCATACTGCTGCTGCTGCTGCTGCTGCTGCTGCTGCACTTGAGGCAATTGCTGCTGCTGCTGGGGGGCCCCTCAGGACCCATGAGGAGACAGGCTTTAGAAGAGACAGCAGCTGCAGCTCTTCTCTGCGCATGCAAAGAGAGGCAGCAGAACAACACAAGCAAGCAGCTGCAGGAGACACGTCAGCGCACTGTCTATACGGGGGCCCCTCAGGGGGGCCCCCAGCCCCTGAAGCGACGGGCGGAGGCTTCTTACTTGCAGATGCAGCTGCTGCTGCACCGAAGCAGCAGCAGCTGCAGCTGCAGCAGCAAGACGATGATTTGCTGTTTATGCCGGGAGAAGATGAAAATACAGACAGCTCGCAGCAGGCCTCACCAGCAGCAGCAGCAGCAGCAGCA